CTCTGCTGTCCTCTTCTCCTTTTGCCTTCGATCTTTCCCAGCATCAGGGTCTTCTCCAAAGGAGCAAATTGCCCTATCAACCACAGCATTAGGGCCTCAACTGATCCTTCCCCATTTTCCTGGTTATGAACTCTGCGTTAAGAGATGCCAGGGACATCTTTGCCCCGAGGACATGCTTTCCTCCACCTCTTGCCCAGAGCACTCTCACAGGCTGGGACTTTTCTCTTGCAGAAGGCCGGGCTTGCGCCGTGGTCTTCGACTGCAAATTCATCGAGACCTCCGCCGCCCTCCAGCACAACGTGACCGAACTCTTTGAGGGGGTGGTGAGGCAGATCCGCCTGCGGCAGGACAGCAAGGAGGCCAACGAGCGGCGCATGTCACTCTACAAGCGCAAGGAGAGCCTCACCAAGAAGGTGCGACGCTTCCTGGACCGGCTGGTGGCTCGCAACAACAAGAAGGTGGCTCTGAAGGTCCGTTCCAAGTCTTGCCATGACCTCTCTGTGCTGTAAGGGCATCAGATGCCCTCCTCCACTCTCCCCTCTTGCATGGCTGAGGGGTCGTCTTGGTCTTCCTTCCCAGGCCTACCCACGGCTTTGCAAACGCTCTTCTTCGTTGGGGGTGGGACCTTCAAACAGGCAAAAAGAACGGTGGGCAGCGGCGTCCTCTGAGCTGATTGGGGCCTGGAACCGTTCAGAGGAGGCGCACCTTGGGTCAACTGACCGGCCAACCAGCGCTTGGGACAGCTGAGGAAGGCCATGTGATAAAGCAAGGCTTTCCGGAAAGCGATGGTGGAATCTGGTTGATGAACACGAGCAGGGAGTAACAGCACGACGTGGGCCCTAACCCTATCTGCTCCACTTCGCTCACAAGGCTTTTGATTTGCCCTCCGGGCTCTGTGGGGCTGTCCGCTATCTTTCAGATTCAGGCCAGTGGCTTAATGCCAGGCTTGGTCAGGAATGAAGCTGGCTGCTTGGTAGATGACCGTCGCTGGCCCTGGCATGGACCGATAAGCCGGATGAGAAATAGGCTGCAGGGACAACTTCTGAAATACGGCTTTGTCTTGCATTGTAATTAGCTGAACATTCCCTCTCGCAAATGGTACTTCCAGGGTTCCAGCAAAGCACCCAAAATTCTGTACTTCGAAAGTTGCTTTTTTCTTGGGACAAGGAAAGGCAGAAGCTGGACTTCCCTTTCGGTACGAGAGAACTTTAAACACAGATCTCCAAAAGGAGCAACACGCTGCCCTCCGGGTTAAGGCGAGACCAGCTTCACCCGGGGCAGCTGGCTGGGGGAATATGAGTGTATTTTTCTGTTTCTAACACAAAAGATGACAGGGAAAGAGTGTGGCTTCTGGCTAAGGATGCAGGCTCTGGCATATGCTCTGTCTTTAGCCACAGTCGCAGAATTGAGAGCGAGCAAGAGTTAGGGTCAGCTTTGGGGGAGGCTGGAGGTTGGCTAATTTGGGCTTTTAACCTCAGCCTCCTGCCCACCTACGTATTTTGCTCCCTAAAGTCTTAATGCTGCCTTGGAATAAATGCCACAGCTGGCTTATTTCATGCCTGGTGGGGAAGATGAGGGGGTAACCCAACGCTTCTGGAGGCATCAGACTGGGGAGGGCTACCTCAAGCCATTGCTGTTTGTTTCTCTATCAAGCCATGGTGGCTTGTTACTCACCAAGGGGAACTGGTGACATCATCTTGAGATAACTGAGATGGGGGGGGTTGAGAGTTTAGAAGGAGCACTTTCGGTGAATGGGTCCTCTCTCCAATTGAGAACAGACACGGAGACTGAGAAATGGCACAGAGCATTTTTGCACTCTTGATTTAGAGCAGTGTTTTTCAAATCTTGGGCACTTTAAGAGGTGTGGACTTCAACTCCCAGAATTCCCCAGCCAGCATGGCTAGCTGGGGAA